ATAAGGTCACTGCGTTTTCAAAAAAAATTGTTTAATTGAATTTACTTGTACAATGAGAATATTGTGGAAGTACTCTTCAAAGAACTTTCTTTGTAATAGATAAAGAATTATATGGTTGGATAAAGGGACCCACAAAGTATTTTAAAAGCGGAAAAAATCTGTCTTATTATGTTCCCCACATGAAAAGAATTAGAACATAGTAAATTTTTGTGGGGTAAAAATTTTTCCTGTGGGGTAATGAGAATAAGTGGATTTCAGTATGATGAGCATTGGGCACAATCCAAGTGGTCCGTTGAAGGGACAAGAAAATGCGAAATCGTTGAGTCAAGAAGGGGACCCGCTAGTTTTACATACATATTTGGCAGACTCCTTGACTCAACGTGTTCATATTACTGTTGGGTTACGTGTCATTTTTTTTCCTGAAATAATTTCATGTAAGGGCATGCTACAAATGAAAGTGGATGTTGGTCTATTTTCTGTAAAAAATGAATGGAAATTTAGTGAAATTTACATATATAAATTATAGATGGGGACTGTAGCTTCTTATAATTGTCCATCAATGGTCAAAACATTCCTTCCGATTGAGTGAAGCTTTTAGCGAACGGTCGCCATGAACGTCTTGCCACTTGTTTCCCCAACGAGTTTTATTATTGCCGTCATAACTTGTATAAATCCTCGCAAGTTTTTGGGTGGTTTTTGTCTATTGGAATATTCCTTCTTGATTAGTGCCCAAAACCGTTCAATTGGACGTTCTGGAGGGAAATTTGGAGCGTCTTCTCTTTTTCTAATAAAGTCGACTTTTTTGCTTCAAATAAAGTCGGTCACAATCTTGTGATAGTCGGATGTCATTATGTCCATGACATGCTTGTTTTTGATGAAGGGGGTCAATCTCTTTATGATACACTCTTTCAATTAGAGTGTAGAATTCAAAATCTTGCAAACAATAAATAACTTTTCCTGAGAAAAGCTTTCTCCACTCTCTTCAGTACTTTCACCGATCGCAGGAGGGCAGGTCGGTTAACTGATTTTTTGAAATCTGCATTTCCGCGTTCCTAGTATCCGTCCAGTACTGGGTTAATTGTGTTCGAATGCATTCCTCCATTTGGAGAAACATTGTGTTTTTCAGATCCCTGAAAACAAATTTTTCGTACGTTTTGGCAAAACCATTTTGCGACTTCTTCGGAATTTTTTGCTCCCCATTTAAAACAAATAGAGATAACGGATTTTGGTTTTCGGGTTCAGAAAGCTGATTAAATGCCGAATGAGACGTAATAGGCTTGCAAAATTTAACATGACTCCCAAAACAATTAAGCGAGCGGGTCAAATCTGCCACTTTCATTCGTAGCATGCCCTTACTAAACGGAAATAAGCTAAAATATACTAGCAATTACTAAGCATTACATGTTCAACTCCATCATATTTTACAAATCTCCATGACAATTTGCTCATAAATACAGGCCTGATATATTAAGGTTGGATTACGACCTTTTCCCCTGACATTAATTGCTATGCATTTACCGGAAATTGGCAGAATACATACGAAATTCCTAAGCATTCCGTGTCCATGTTTGTCCATATAGAAATTCGATTATGATGATAATTAAAAGTATTGATTCAGGATACCGACATATTTACTTCTCAGTAATATATTTTTCAGATTCGTTGCGTAGTAGATAGTTGCACTATAGAACTCGGATAATCTATCTTGTTTAACCATGGGTTCTAAAATAATACAAATTATATTATTTTGGATCTATATTTATCTCTTAACCCCTATTGCTACTGGATTGTTTGGAAATATATTTGAAAACTGCACTTTGCACTTTGTCCGATACAATGTAATCTGGAGAATGATACATTACCACTGCATTTCACACTTCTGCGATCTCAAAACAATTATATTCCCTTCTTCTTCCATACTATTGGAATAAATCAATCAATCAACAATTTCAATTTAGCCTCTTATAATATCCGGAGTTGGAAAGGAGCAGACAAATCTTCCCGAATTACAGTATCATTCCTCGCCCTGAGGAACCATGCACCCTCTACGATGAAAATACTGTACTCGTTGATTACAGTTGTTCAACCAAGCTACGTATTCGTTCACGTAAATTCATTCGAAGATTGGAAATATTATTACGCGTATTATAACACGGTTCCAGGAATATCAAAATTGTTCCTATTTTCCCTCACCAATCATCAGCCACAAATATTTGTAGGCAGCATTACATCATCAGAGTTCATTCTGACGCAAAGTATGGACACAATTGATCACGTGGATTCTATGTGGGATGCCTTGAATAAGGAAAACCTACACGGAAGCATTGCGTGCGGTCCGGACCTCCAACGTTTTCAAGAAATACAACTTCGACCCATTGCAGAATGGTTTTGCGTATCACAAGTTCTCGGGGACAAGCACAACTTCACGTATGCCGAAGCTAGGAACTTAAAACGGACATGGGACAAGGTTTTAATAATCGGAGATATGCGATTCGACCTATTCCTCACAGAAGGTGCAGTACATTCCTTGCGCCAGGAAAGTTACCCCATTCTTGAATTAGACTTTGAAGAATTACAATTTACTGTGGTAACGAAATTTCCGTCGAAAATTAACAGCATTTTCGGCGTGTTTACACCTTTTGATGGTGCAACGTGGGCACTAATTTTATTTTCGTGTCTTACTATGACGCTAATTCTACAATTCGATGGGAACGGGGTTGCCCCCAGGTTTGCATTCTTGCATACCATGGGAGATTTCTGTCTCCTAAATTCCATCCTATTCGGTCAATCTATTGCGGATGAGATTCTCCGAGCAATTTCTAATAAAAAGGTGGCAGTTCCTATCCTAACGGTATGGTTTTTTGGGTGTTATCTGCTCATGGATAACCTTTATCAGGGAACGATATATTCAGATTTGACGGTCATGTACCCGCCAAAAGTCCCGAAAAGTTTGGAAGCCTTGGCAATGTCGAATATGTCAGTTTTTACCACGACATGGCTTGGATTTCCACCCTTAGATATAAACTGTTTCATAACTAGCGGCTTAATTCCTATGTTGAGGCAACACTCCAATATTTCTGGATGGCTAGACGATTTACAAAAGCGTATAATTTTCATTCACCCGAACATTGTGGATGCAAGTTTGGCAGAGAAAATGTCAAACTCAAAGCCAGTTGTGACCCATTTTAACGAATCATTTAGTACAACCGATACTTTCGCAATTTTAGATCGACCATCTGAACTTGGATTATTGACAGCTTCCCTGCAAATGTTGGGGAAACGACTAGTCGTAGAAAATAAGTTGGGGAATATATTAAATTTCAATACATTTGTTGAGGGGAGAAGAAATTTCTTCATTCCAATTTTTCACCAAGGTCTTTACAAGTTACGACAATCAGGGATATTTAGCAGGTGGGAAATTTTACGGGGGATGAAGGAAAAATTACGATTTATGAGACAATACGAGGAGTCCGTGTATAAAAGATATTTGGTCAAGTTAAATTCCAATTTTCAAGAACCAAGCATCTTCCATGAGAGTGGTGATGGGGATGCTGTTGGGGCACTGTTTTACGTCATCGGACTTTGTGCGGTGTTAGTTGGGGTCGGCGTTGTAGCGTTAGGGTGGGAATGTAGGGATGAGCTTGAATTACTTTTCAAAGTTATTGGCAGAATAGGGCACGATGCTGTCCACAAATTTGGCCAGTAGATATGCAATGCCTATATTATCAATTTCATATATTACATGTATGTATATGCATGCAACTAGTCATTAGTTATAATTAATCCGGTAATCTTAATTAACTCTTAGAAATCCAGAATTAAAAGAATACCAGGCGGTATTCATATATGCCTCTACCAACGTGGTATTGATAAATAATACCGTGTAGTAATAACCCGGTATTAAAGTTTTACAATATTGGTATCAATTTTTTACGGACCGGTATAATTTTAATACCAAGCGGTAGCAACTTTAATACCGAGAAATCAATACCCGCGTGACTATACCGGATTTCTGACAGTGTAGCCAATTTTGTAATTGTCTTGAATTTTGTAGAGGAATATTAATTATTCTCACGTGACTTTCATGCGTCCTGTATTAATCACAATGCATTGTGATTAACTGTCCAAAATATCTGCACAGTATATATAAACATCTTGAATGTTGATCAAATTAATTTACAAAATTAATAAGTAACTACGTTATCTAATAAATACTAGCTAACCATCCAGTAGTTTGCCGGGCGATAAAATACACTATGAGGGCGTGTCTATAAAAGAATTAAAAAAATTGAGTTGCAGAATTTAATTGAAATTATTTAAGAATTGGATTTATGTACACTTGATGCTAAGGGCATATCTTACCCTTAGCATACGTATGGGTTTTCAATAGCATATTCCCGGGGTTTTCCTTACCCTGGACTCGCGTTTTTACAGGGAATTGCCCAATTGTAGCAGATTAATGACTAATAACTTGAAATACGTGAATACATATCTGTATGTTACAAAAGTATTAATAAATGCATCCTTGATCATCATCATGATTTATTACATCTTAGGATTAGTTAATTACCATGTTATCACCAACACAAACAATAGAATACGTATCTCGCTCTTATCGTGCACATACAATATTTAATCCACAGGGATCAATGAGTCGCCAACGAACTAATCCTGTTGTGCGGATTGCCTCATTTTACCGAATGGATTATCTGCCCATGCAAATTATGCCAATCTATTCAGGTAGACTAAAACATAGATACTTACATATATATATATATGTACATATATATAAGGTTTTGACAGTTAACCAACGACATATGTACATATGCACAAGTACCCATTATGTAAGTCAATAATTACGGTGTACACATACCTACATACAAACACATAAATCAGACTAATATGTATCTAGAAGGTTGTATAATTTCTTGCATTGCAATATCTAAACTCGGGCATGCAAAAAAGGTTAACAACAAATTTATGCTGTATTTAGTACAAGATTAAATTGAAAAGATATTTATTTAACAACACCCATAATATTAACCATGCTCATAAATAGATAATTCCACATTTCACGTCGCCACTGCCATTACTTCTGTCACCCCGTCCTCAACACTAAAAATAACCTTAGTTTTCGCATACACGTTTTTGCAACTCCATGATCAATAAGGATTTGACACATGTCGCACCCTTCAATGTCGTGAGAACCTCCAAATCCCATAAACTGTACTCTTCTCGCTCCATTTCGTTTATGGTTGATCTGGTTATTCATTAAAAATGAACATATGTATGTAACCTTACACAATTAGCAGGTTGCCGTAAAATAAAAAGCTAACCTTTGACATGCTGTACATGACACCTGCTGAGTGACACTGTCTGCATCGTTGACTGTATACTTCTTCTTGATCGAAATCTTCCCATTCAACTCCACATTCATTTTCATTTAAACACCGACAATAATAGTGGCGTCCAAACTGCGTGGATAAATATGTAAATTTTTAGGACGACTTAGCACAATTTATTTTTTATAAGTACCAGTTCTTGTTGTGTCGCAACAACCAAGCGCCCACAAACGCATTCATCTTCTTGCACAGGATCTAGTGATCGCCAAAGTTCATTGCAATCCTCACAACTAAAAACACTTAGCGTACAATGCTGTAAGAAATTAGATACATAAACATAATTTTAAATACGTGTTACATGTGATTATTTTAAAAAATGCGTACTTCATCCACAAAACTCGATACTTTTGCCTTTGAGTAACAAATTTCACAGTAAAAACTTCCTTTTCTCCAGGCATGCATCGAACTCCATGTTTTTCCACATTTTTCACCAGTACATTTAAAATTTGCAACGGTTTTTCTAATTACGCTGCGAGAGTTTTTATTTTTCCCATTTTTACGATCTGGGATTGGATTTGTATTGGATGTTGGTTGCTCGTTATTTTGAAGTTTGACTGTATCTGTAAATTTAAATAGGTTTTGTTAGAATTTAAAAATGTAACATCTGATTAATATTTTACGCACAACTACTGACCAGTCTTATTTCCATTAGTAGAAATTTGAATAAATTGTTGGGGTAAATCCAATTTTTTATCAGTTGCACCTGACATTTTCTTCTACACATTAAGTAATACAGATTTAGTATTATGGAAGTTAGTACAATTTTAGAGGATGTAGAGCATATTGTGTGAAACGTCGAATACGGTTACAAAACAGTTACACATAAATACTCAACTTTTGCACAGACATACGTAGTTTTAATCATTATCCCTCATCTAAATCTGCTGATATGGAAAGATAAGACATTTACTTTTGTCTGGCTTTATTTGCGGATTAAATAGACAAAAGGTGACTAAACGCATTTAGTTAATCACTTCTTCCTCCGATTGGTAAGAATTGCCCATTTTTTAACTTTGGCCTTAAATAGATGTTTCGACTTATTCCAATAAACTGCCTCAAGAAACGTTAGTGGTGTTGACTTGGACCAAATAATTTTAAAATTTCGGAGGGTTGTACTTCAAACCATCGCACTGTTAGTTGCACTTATTAGGTGCCATGCATAATTGAAGTACCGTTGTGAAATTGTGTTAAATATGTATATGTATTTGTAATAAATATATGTATATCTATGTAAGTATTTAATTTACAAATATATTAAATCTTTCAGTGGCAGGTTCTGGCAAGATTGTATTCTTCAGGTTTGTAATACGACTACAAAAAGTGTGAGCAGGGTCATCAACATCTACAAATTTGCAGAATAATGAATATTAAACGTATATTTTCGGTCAGTAATTGAGCCAATCAGAATGTCGAAATAAATAAATACTTACATTTGCCAAGAACCGGTTATTGATCACAAATTTATTCAATCCCCTAATTCCCACGGGTTGTTTCTCCAATTCCGCCAAAATTCGGATACGCACCTCGAGCGAAAACATATTTTCGGTTTCTTCGCTCAATAGAAATTCTCGAAATTTATCCACCTTCGGGTAAACCACACATACTATGGAAATTACGAATTACGGGTTTTAAGCAATATTCTCAAATAAATTTCTCATTTGTACTGTTGAGAAACTGTGCGTTTATGTGAAAATTTAGCATAATAGCTTTAATTCGCAGTCTACCCAATAATAATAAACTATGAAAGTAATGCTCCCATTATGGCGCTCAATTATACGAAAATTTTCAAAGTTTTACCTCCTCCACAATTTGCGCCGACATTCCAAACAGTGTCCCCGTAACGAGGAGAAACTGCATATTCCAAACTTTCTCCACCCATCCCGCATTCCTCGTGATCTGGTCAAACGTCCCGCTCACGTAGGATGTCGCCAATATGAAAAAGATGAAAACCATTCCATCAGTCACATTGTTAATCGCGTTTGAAAATCGTTTCAAATCCCGCCACTGATCCAGTAATGCAGACGTTTTTCGGGAAACTTTTAAGAAGTCGGGAGTTTTCTTCTGCATAAAAATTTCACCCGGTTTTAATCCGGCAGTAAAAGTTTTTGTCGCGTTTAAAAGCTCAAACATTCCCTGTAACATTAACGCTTGGCCGAAAAACTCGACATATAACCGGCAAAAATAGGTCAACAGGTCTAATCCGGTTATAAAACAGTCCATCATTTGATATTCGGTGGTTGTAATGTTTGATGTGAAAGTAATCGTTCTGAAAGACCAGAGCGATATAACAGATTCTGTGTGAGTCCTTAATAAAGTTGGGGACGATATATCAATCGAACTTAGATTCATGATGGGGAAGATGAATGCGAGAACTGTTGTTAGAATGCAGAAGGAATGATTTTTAAGAGTGCCCTGGAAAAAAAGAGTGTTAAATTATCACGTGTCATAAGCATGTCATTTAACAATGAATCAACGCTTTGTCACTAAAATCGTCAAACTCGACAAATTTCACATTACCTCTCGACTTCGGAGATTTATTAAAAAATTGCGTAGGAAAAATTTGTAGAGCAAGTCTAAAGATGTCAATTTTTTAAATACAGTCAATGGAAAAAGTATTGGCAACCCCCACGTCAGCTAAATAAAATTGGCTATAACCATGGAATGCATCATACAATTGGTATGGAAATTTGTACCCATTTAGCAAATATAATGTAGTTTTCGATTATAATCATGATTTATTAATTAAAATTAGATAAACACAGTTTTTAAATAATTTGTTGGAAAATTTTCAAAATTTACCCGCAAAATTTATCCGGACAATCAGAATCACATCGGGAGACTGTGCAATCAACGAAAGAAGCTTAACCTTTTTGATCTCCAAAACCTTGCATCGTTAAATTGGCTACATGTTTGGGGTCACTGAATTTTCGGAATATAAAATTCCTTCATAGGTCAGATTTTTATCAAATAATTTCAAATTATCGTTTAGAATGATTATTTGGACCTCATTGGTCATGATTCCATCGATAATGACCAGCTACCTACGCCACGACCTAGTCATTTAACACCAAACCATAATCGCTCCTCTTCTGTGTTTAGCTGTCATACGAACATATTCGTTTTTGTGAGCCTATTATGGCATCCGCCAGACTTGAACCATTCAATTTGCTCCGAATAAGTAAAATATTAATATAAATGTCAGACCAGCAGAACCTTCTTCATTCATTGGAAGTCTATTCAGGGTGGTGTTTAGTCCATTCCAATTTATTGAGTTGGTTCGTTTTGGGGACCCTCGCGTCAGTCGGGCTTCTGGACCCTGAAACCCCATGGCATGATTTTTGATTGATCACAATATTGCATGATATGTTGACGCCACAGTTGGTTCTCAAATTCAACATGGTTTTTGGGGTTAAAATCTTCCGATCTCGAGTGATAATTTCCTTGATTCATCAGTGGCTCGTGGGCGTAGGTGACTTTTTTCTTCCGCACCATGGAAAAGTAGAAACTGAGATTGTCATTTTATATTTCTTGGCTACCTATTCAATAGTAAATATGGAAAAGTATGTTTTCTCTTTGATTTTTCTATAGTAAAGTTTTTTGTGAAAGATACATGATTATTTCTCGCCGCGCCAAATACAGCTCGTTTGATGTCGCCATTTTGGCTCCAGACAACACAACTGTAGACTTAAAATGTAGCTAACGTCATATTTGGTCACCTAATTAACTTACCGTAATGAAACGTGGTAGCTGATTAAGAAAATTGTTTCGCGTAATTAATTTGGCCACATGTTGCCAATACTTTTTGCGGGTAAATTTTGCAAATTTTCCACCAAATTATTTAAAAACTGTGTTTATCTAATTTGAATCAATAAAACATGACTATAATCGAAAACTACATAATATTTGCTAAAGGCCTACAAATTTTCATGCCAATTGTATAATGCATTCTAACGTTACAGCAAATTTTATTTAGCTGGCGTGGGGGTTGCCAATACTTTTTCCATTGACTGTATGCACTCCAGATTTTGATAGTTATTTAAGCAGATCTCCTGCTAAAGGAGCCTTCTGAAAAAATCTAAGTCACCGAAAATTGTTTACCTTGATTGAAGGGACTCATCGCTATTTTATTGATCAACTTGTTCAAAAATGTCTTAATTGTAACGATGTTGGTGATTAGTCTTTGAGTATAATCCTCCGTTAACGATCGAGCATTACATTACACATTTTTATATTTTTACACGCTATACTCGCTAAGTAAATTTTTGCGGAAGAATATATATCAATTATTCTTACGTGACTTTCATACGTCCCGTATTGAAGACGATATGAGACCGATTGTCGAACCATTTCGCCAATTTTGTTCTGTCTCCTCCACGTCGTCCAGGACGACGCAGAAATGAAGAGAACCCACGTCACTGTTTGGACGACGTTAAAATAAAGCGAAGCCTTCGACACGGGTCCAGCAGCGACAGTCGTTAACCCACTGAAGCCAACGACAATCAATCTAGAAACTGTGAGGAGGTGTACGATGAAGCAAAATCGCTAAATGTTCAAAATTAATATAAAGATATTAGAAAATAGATATGTAAGTCATTAAGCAATTAACGCAGGGCCTTGGTAACCTTGCAAAAACTGCAAATGCTGTTACCCTACAAACTTTTACCAAATTTTACAAATATTTGGATGGGAAATTAGCTTACAAATTTTTGCAAACTTAATCAGGTTAAGGGCGTCTTTTTTTATTTTGTTAAAGTTTGTAAAATTCCTTTACAAAACGCACGGATTTTACAAGTTACTAATGACTGCCTAAATTGGGTAGGTATTTAATTAGTGTTGACATACTTACAGTTTGCCAATTGTTTGTAAATTTCAGTGTTGTCGATTTCTTCATGATGCAGTTCTCCTTAAACTTGTATGGAACTATGCACAAGTAGTAAGCATAATTATAGTAGGTTGTAAATCCGCAACTATTTGATGAAGACATGACAATAACTTAGATAATTATTCGAGCGGTTTGTCACTGCCCGATATTTTACCAATGCTCCATCTTACGAATAAGCAAATTACATGGCGAAATTTTTCAACTTAACCAACTCAACTCAACCAAATTATGAAGATAACGGGGTGTCATTGAATTGACAATTGCTACTTAGTCGGAGCAACTGATGTATTATGCATGAAATTGAAAAATAAACTTGTCTAGAAAGTATTTCAGTGAGAAATTTAATCAAATTAAATACTTTCATATATACATAAATATGAATGGCTTAGACATGTACCTATGTACATATGATAGATGGAGTGATTTTCCACTTTGTGAAATAGTAGAATGTTTAGAAGTCTGCAGGGTGACCCATGAGTCGTTTATAAAATTGGATGCATTAACAGATTATCTATGTATGTCCATTGTACATATGTACTATTACAATTGTATGCATATTTGTTATAAACATGTACTTAAATACGTGTCACCTTACATTTTATTCTTGAAAACTGAAGAGTAAAAAAATCAAAATGTAACGAACTAGAGTATTTAAGCTTGAAGGATGTGACTAATTTTTGCCACAGTATGTATGTATGTAGCTGATAAATTGGCCACCCTGTATAAAAGTATAAATGTGCAAACAGTTTGCAGTCTAAGCGTTCTGTGCATAACATAAAATTAAGCAAATTGTTCTCTTTTTGCACTAAATGTATACTGAATTTCAAACATATTTAGATAAGCAACACGGCAAGGACGAATTGTAAGACTACCATCACCTTGAGGCTTGACCCTGCAAAATAAGTTGCTACTTTGGCAGGCCTACATAATTCCCTATTAATATATGTATGTATGTATATGTAGAGTAGGAAAAGAAGTTTATTTGATCAGTTTCTTAAGTATTTTAAGTAAGATTCGACCCAAAACTTCATGAAAATGAATGAATATCTGTATGAATGAACCATGAAACGTACAAACACAACAAAACCATTCATAATTTTGGAGCCGATTAAAATTTTGATTACATAATGAGAAGAAGTACTTATTCATTCTGTTTTTTGTTAGCAAAACGCATTTATTGGGCGGAAACAATTTGTACATGAGCCCACTCAAACTAATTTCCTAAACAAATTCAAAGAAAGTTTGTTTGTTTAGTGATCATTTTATTGAGGCATGCATATGTTAATATTTAAGCTTAAAAATACATATGTAGGATAAATAAGAATTGAAGGTAACTTAACATCTTGGACTAGCCTTTGTATAAATATACTGTTAAAAGTGTGGCGACTTGTCATAATAATTAATCAATTATAAGTTCTTTCTACTGACAAATAAAGTCCATGCGGCCAGGATGAGAATAAGACTGTTCCAAATTTGAGGCATACTGGACGGCCCCGAGTTAATGAAATCTATCCGCACAATTTTTCTATTCTCGAGTCCGTGATATCCGAAAGTGTCATTAAGACCGTACGACATCATCAGATAGACCGGTATCCCCTAAAAAATTAGTGAATAAAAACTTAATTCAATACTTTACATGACAATGAGTAAAATTTACTCAAAAGGAGGCTGACATAAACAAAAGGTAAAATTTACCCAACCATTCTGCATAATTTGTCAAAAGTTGTGTGAAATTTGTAAAACGGTTGGATAAATTTTGCACAAGGTTGAATAAATTTTACCTTTTAGTTGTATCATATCATCCTATTTTTTTACTCAACCTTGAGTAAATTTTACTCATTTTTATTCAGAGAAAAGACTCGCTTCTATTGGGGTTCCACACTGTTCTAAATAGTCTGGCAAGTATTGATTTCTCGGTGTTAAAGGTACTACAGCTTGGTATTCTTAAAGTTACATATTTAGGTCAGTAAAAATTTGCTTAGTGTTCCTTAATTACTTGAGTATGTAATTAGACACTAATTACTTACTTCGACTCGATGAGAGCAAGTAATTAATTACTCAATTACTAACCACATCGGAAGGCAACTAGTTACAAATTGTAACTTACAATAACTTGTAATTAATTACATTTCCTTATATACATATGTGCAGGCTTAGTTAATTGATTACTTTGAGGTGAGACTCACTTCAAGCAAACGAACTAACTAATTGCTAATTACAATTGCATTTCTACAAGGTGATTAAAGTAAATTACCAATTACTTTTTCGACTTATTTTGGAATTAATTACGTGGTTAGTTAGTCTTGTAATTAACTTGCTGTGGATATGGTAAAACTTCAATAACGAAGTTTTATTACACGGTATGAATTACGAACCAACGCAACCCTGACTTAAGTAGATGGATAGATAAATACGGATTGATATTATATTAATGCAGGATTTTTAAGGGTGCACTTACAATGAGAATTTGGATATCTGTAGTATCAGCAGGGCTGAGTTCTCGCTCCCACTCGACTCTGGTGTAAGTCATCCCGTCAGTTTCGTCTACAAATTCAGTAGCGTTTAAGAAGGTCCAAGCAACACCTGGGTAGTTCCCTCCAATCCCGTTTTCCGTCCCGATTAGGAGCTGGGGGAAATTATAATGGGTTAATTAATAGACATTCTTTATTTACGTGGAAACTTGAGATATTTACATCTCTGTATGTTTCGTCTTCCTGTAAAATGCCGAGCTTCTGAGTGACCTCAAGGGTGGTGACAACTTCTGTTTCCGGGAACGTGAACGGTGGGGCAATCGTCGTCTCCGGCGTTGTAGTTGGTGTTGTTGTCGGGGTTTCAGTAGTTGTAGTTGGGTCCGTAGGTTCGGTTTCCGGGGTTTCAGTGGTTGTAGTTGGATCTGCTGTTGTAGTTGGATCTGCGGTTGTAGTTGGATCTGCGGTTGTAGTTGGATCCTCGGTTGTAGTTGGATCTGCGGTTGTAGTTGGATCCTCGGTTGTAGTTGGATCTGCGGTTGTAGTTGGATCCTCGGTTGTAGTTGGATCTGCGGTCGCAGTTGGATCTGTGGTCGCAGTAGGATCTGTGACCGCGGTTGGATCTGGAGTCTCAGTTGGATCTGTGGTCGCAGTTGGGTCTGTGGTCGCAGTAGGATCTGGAGTCTCAGTTGGATCTGTGGTCGCAGTTGGGTCTGGAGTCTCAGTTGGATCTGTGGTCGCAGTAGGATCTGGAGTCTCAGTTGGATCTGTGGTCGCAGTAGGATCTGGAGTCTCAGTTGGATCTGTGGTCGCAGTAGGATCTGGAGTCTCAGTTGGATCTGTGGTCGCAGTTGGATCTGTGGTCGCGGTTGGATCTGTGGTCGCAGTTGGATCTGTGGTCGCAGTTGGATCTGTGGTCGCGGTTGGATCTGTGGTCGCAGTTGGATCTGTGGTCGCGGTTGGATCTGTGGTCGCAGTTGGATCTGTGGTCGCGGTTGGATCTGTGGTCGCGGTTGGATCTGTGGTCGCAGTTGGATCTGTGGTCGCGGTTGGATCTGTGGTCGCAGTTGGATCTGTGGTCGCGGTTGGATCTGTGGTCGCGGTTGGATCTGTGGTAGCAGTTGGATCTGTGGTCGCGGTTGGATCTGTGGTCGCAGTTGGATCTGTGGTAGCAGTTGGATCTGTGGTAGCGGTTGGATCTGTGGTAGCAGTTGGATCTGTGGTCGCGGTTGGATCTGGAGTCGCAGTTGGATCTGTGGTCGCGGTTGGGTCTGTGGTCGCGGTTGGGTCTGTGGTCGCGGTTGGATCTGTGGTCGCGGTTGGATCTGTGGTAGCAGTTGGATCTGTGGTCGCGGTTGGATCTGTGGTCGCAGTTGGATCTGTGGTCGCGGTTGGATCTGTGGTCGCAGTTGGATCTGTGGTCGCGGTTGGATCTGTGGTCGCGGTTGGATCTGTGGTAGCAGTTGGATCTGTGGTCGCGGTTGGATCTGTGGTCGCAGTTGGATCTGTGGTAGCAGTTGGATCTGTGGTAGCGGTTGGATCTGTGGTAGCAGTTGGATCTGTGGTCGCGGTTGGATCTGGAGTCGCAGTTGGATCTGTGGTCGCGGTTGGGTCTGTGGTCGCGGTTGGGTCTGTGGTCGCGGTTGGGTCTGTGGTCGCGGTTGGATCTGTGGTCGCGGTTGGATCTGTGGTAGCAGTTGGATCTGTGGTCGCGGTTGGATCTGTGGTCGCAGTGGGATCTGTGGTCGCGGTTGGATCTGGAGTCGCAGTTGGATCTGGAGTCTCAGTAGTTGGATCTGTGGTTGCAGTTGGATCCGTGGTTTCAGTTATTGGATCCTCAGTAGTCGCCGTTGGATCCGTTGTAGTTGGTCTCGTTATTGTCGTCCTCACTGTTGTTGGGGGTCTCGTTACATCTGGTCCCTTGGTCACACCCGCAACCATAAGTTGTGCCCCATCCATCCCGCTCTGTTTGTTCAACCCAATCCCCACCCACCCTCTCGTCTTGACAACTGACCGAAATCGAATCTTTCCTCCACCAATTTCCCATGTCAAGTTGTAATTTTCAAAACCTTCTTGTCCCGTTTGACCTGTGGCGAAGGGAACGACGACAAAAAACAATACACAAATTGATAAAGAACAAAATTTAGGCATTTTAAAAAGCAGAAATTATATCCCAGAAAGATATAATCTAGTGGTAAACAAAATTTAAACTAATCCAGTGAATTTTTTTCGCACTTTGATTAATGAATCGTACCCCGTCCGTTAATGAATGACCAATCGATCACGATCTTCACCCAATTTAGGTGACATGATCTGGATTGTGTCATCATTAAATTGGTGTCGCCAGTCTGGTAGTGTAATCATCGTTAAAAATATGCATAATGTGTGTGAGCTTGGTGTGCACGGTTTGATAATGCACTCTAAATAATTTGGAGACAAATGGTCACCCGCAGAGGGACATACAATAATGCTCTGTTTTTCGGGTAATAATTAAGGAGACGTTTAGTCACCAGTGGAAAATAATTAGTAAAAAAACCCATGTATCAAACACACGTGACGTCATTATTTACCAACATATTTATCAAACTATAAAATTTGAGGGGTATCTTTTTAGCAAAGTATTAAAATTTTAATGCTAACGGTACGCTTGTTTTGTACATTAGTATTTTTAAAATTCAAGTCTCTCCTGAAAACCTTTTGTATATTTTTCTTAAATAACGACGGCACTTCTGTTTGATACACAAGTTTTTTGCATATTTTCCCTTGGTGAGGAAAAAACCCCTAAATCATTAACCAAAAAGTGAGTATTGTGCATTTGCCAAAATTATTTAGAGTGTATCCTTATTAAATTGTACCATTCGGGCCTTTGTGTATCTACCGGTGTCGCTATCTTTCCCGTGTCGATTACAAATGGATTTTTCCATGTTCGCGAGATGTTATCTTAGCGATTGGAATTTGTGACTGGTGCAGTTTGATATTTATAACGCTGATCCGATAACGTGCTTATGTATGTATGTCCAACTGCGTAGTGTACGAAGAATCGGGCATATTGGTTATGTATGGCAGATTTGCAAATATTTGCTGACTCATAATTGCCATAATTCATCATCCATTGAAGTGACAGAAATTTACTTATCAAAAATTACCAGGTTGCGTTGACATTTATCGTCGTTTCGATAAGCACGAGATAAATAAATGTTTAAGTTACGGATGACTTAAGCTGAGGAAAGCATGAAATCTTTGGCTGTTAATTAATTAGAAGGATAAGTTTTTTAAAATGTTTATTTATACGCAAAAGATTTTTAATTCCATTAGAGTATTCGTTTTTCAGGTTCAAATTTTAATTTATTTATTTCACCAGAGAATAAAAATAAAATGATTTCTAAACTGAGAAATTATTTAAGAATAATTTGGAAGGAAATTATTACCTCCTAACTTTGGAAACTTATGTATGAATTATAAAGTTTCAGAAGCAATAAGGTCTTCATTTTGTGAAAAAATGCACAGGCTTCAAAATCCCTATTTGAGTACATGGAAAAGGGAAAGGTGAGAAACAACACAACAATTCAAATTCAAAACCCGTTGATAAGAGAACCTTAAACAAATGTGTCACCCGTAAAGCAATAGCTCGGTAATAAGGTTGCACCTTATCGGTGGCAAATTTGCACGGACGTGTATAATTCTATTACCAGGCGGTAACAACTTTGATGCTGAAAAATCTATACCAGCGTGACTTACCTGAATTTTAACAATTTATTTATAAATGGAAAAAGTATGTAAATATGTATGTAAAACCTCAGTATGAAAAGTTACCTATGAACAGAAACTAACTACAAAATCTGAGACTGCTTCTATCTAAGCTCTCATCATTACTAGTTTAATTACTTAAGGGGCCTTTCATAAATTATATAACCCGAGGATGGGTCCATGTAAGGCTAAAATGCTATCGCGCCCACGTAACACATGTTCAAGGGGGGTCTAGAAAATCACGATTTTTTCGTTGCATAAGTTATGAACGACCCCTGATATAGGTAATTTACCTTGCACTAGTGTAACATTCATTTTAAGATTGTCCTTTCCACGTCATCTTAGATGGCCTCGATGCCGTCTATTTTTATCGGTTTAAATTCTGTGAAGTGAAGGGTCCTTTCAAGGACCCTTTAGAAACGAAGGGTTCAAACCTTTTTCCTTGCACTTCAACTTGTGCCTAATCCCAGTCAAAAGCTCGGTAGTCACGGAAAGTTTAAGAAAAATTCGCGTATTTTATACTCATATTTCGTCAAAAATACTTATAATCACTGCATGACAACATAATATTCTTGAAATACGAATAAGCCATTTTGCAACAAATAAAAATAATTGTCAAATATCACTTTTCGTGAAATACGCAATAAGTCGAATACAAATTTGAAATTCGGTGTGCAATGAGTGAATCAAGCTTTACGTCAAAAAGGATAAAAATGGTGTCCGGGGTAAGTTAAATATTTATTTTCTAAACTTATTATATTTTGTGATAAATAATTAGTAAATAATACGAGATATTACGGGATAATTGTACAAACTCGCACCACCAAAGTCATAAATACATACATACAGGGTGCTTGAAAATTTCTCGCAACAATAGGTACATACTTTGCAATGCAGAAAATTTGTATTTCCATTAATTGCCGGCGAAATTATATTATCCTACTTTTGGATAATTGAATACGGACAAAACTTGGGTATCTATTTACTAGAGGTTTGCACTATTAAATAGAAATGTGGCATACATATGTATCTAATCACGCAGTTATTGAATTCTAGTTGTTAAAGTATTGGTTTAAAATTATACCACACCGTAAAATTCTGCTACCGAGCTATTACTTAAATATGTAAGTACTAACAATGAGGAGGTGTCAGGTGGTTATCGCCAATGCGGACCGGACTAATTTTAAATTGTTCAGGCCCAGAAATAAGCCCACCCGTATTTTTTCTTAGGTGAGGCATAGTAACCATGACCTCTTGAAAAAATGCATGGTTACGGCGAAGCCTAAGTATGCAAACAGACCCCCCCTCCCAAAATTCCACTCAAGATTGTGGCAAAACGGCTAATCGTATCAAAATGGTGTAAAAGGCAATCGTGCAGACCTTGCTGGGTAGATGATGCCCGTCAGGTCTAGAGACTTGACAATCTTATTTTAACCCATTTTAAATCGATTTTAAACTTTCAAACGACTGGCAAATTCACTTTTCCCATGCAAAGGTTGTGACTCGTCCATGTTTTAATGTGCGGAAATCTATAACGCGTCATTTAAAACAAACCCGAGCGAAATCGGACAAGAAATGAAAAAGTTTTCTTGGTAGCATCTGCAGCCAGTTACGTTGCTTGTAATGTTTCTTCATTACTTATAACAAATACTCGTTTCTATTAGCAACCAGCACAATAGAAACATGTAAGCTCTGCACTTACATATGCAAATATCTAAACATGTAAATATGTATGAACATGTATGCACTTTTAGAAATCCAGTATTAAAATAGTACCAAGCGGTATTCAGAAATGACTACAAAAATGGTATTCATAACTAATGCTCTGACGTAATCATGTTTCGTTTTCTCCCATGTGAGAAAAATTTCACGGTGAAAATGCAAATTCTCTTTCACGTTTTCCATCATAACTTTGTTTAAACTAAGGATGAGCATTACGAAAAATCCTGAAACACGTGTTTAATCATTTATCTAAGGATACATAATTATCGTGTTTTCGTCAAAATCGGAGCTAGACCGCTGGCGTCATCGTATTTCAAGCAATAGGAACCACTGAGATTTCAATTATACCAGATTTCTAAGTGTGTGTATATACAAAATACATGTATGTATGATGTTGATGCATTTCTTGCCCTTTAGTCCACGGGTGATAGGGGAATTTAATTTGGTGTTCCACGCATTCACAACCACTGGAGAATTAATTGCATATTATGTAACGCATCCAGGCTAATGAGATTTAATTTGGTATCTATTATTGATGACAACTTAAAGAGACTTAAAAACAAAAAAATAAACTAATTCTTTAAAACAAACTTAGGTGAGCCTTGCTTAAAAGGGAGAAACAAGAGGTTCTCATCGTGTAATAAAATAATATGCTACATCAATGTTCATCTCATGATTTATAATTTTAGGTGAATACAACAACAAATTATATGCGTTTCGGACCATTTGCCTCGCCGTGGGCCATTTTATGATTCAAATAATTAAAATAACTTGAAAATTTATTAGCGCTCAGTGCATTTGATACACATATGCAGTAATAATTCATATGAAACGATACAGGATTTAGTTAGATAATTTCGTTATCCATAATCTATTGGTGATGTAATGTACGAAGCTTGAGTTAGTTTGTAATATTATATTTCAGAACACTAAATTTTAAGAACTTCGACCTATCTTTGAAATATATTCATGTAGGCCATCAGTATAAGCAGAATCGAATAGTAACGAAGATTGCAACTTATGTATATTTAGGTACAACCATCAATATGGCGCACATACTATATATATACATATATGTATTTGTATGGAACAATTAATCAGGCCCACGGCGAGGCAAATGGTCCGAAACGCATATAATTTGTTGTTGTATTCACCTAAAATTCTAAATCATGAGATGAACATTGATGTAGCATATTATTTTATTACACGATGAGAACCTCTTGTTTCTCCCTTTTAAGCAAGCCTCACCTAAGTTTTTTTTAAAGAATTAGTTTATTCGTTTTCCTGAATGGGCATATTTACGCCCGTGGCGGAATTTTCAAAAAAAATTCAGCCAAAATCCTGATTTTTAAAAACGCTGTAACTTTTCGAATTTTAGCCCGATTTCAAAAAGTGAATACAATTTGTGTTCAGAATTACTTCCCTGAAAATATAAAAATTCATTTTAAAAATTTTTTTAATTTAATATTTTCATGCCATTTCTGAGTTTTTAGATATGAAAAAACGATAATTTTTTGAAAATTAAAAAATTTTGGAAAATGAATTTTCATATTTTCAGGGAAGTAATTCTGAACACAAATTGTATTCACTTTTTGAAATCGGGCTAAAATTCGAAAAGTTCGTGTTTTTAAAAATCAGGATTTTGGCTGAAATTTTTTTTGAAAATTCCGCCACGGGCGTAAATATGCCCATTCAGGAAAACGAAAAAATACGGGTGGGCTTATTTCTGGGCCTGAACAATTTAAAATGAGTCCCGTCCACATTGGCGATAACCACCTGACACCTCTCCATTGTAAGTAGACCGTATTACTAATCAATACCACCCTGGTAAAGTAATATACGAATACCGGTTGGAATAATAATTATTATTGTAATAATAATAATAGAATAATTATTGTAATTCTAGATTTGTAAGCACACCTGTTCCAATTTTTGTTACCAGTCAAAAGTCAGTCATTCCGATTTACGACGGAAGATTTTCATTCACAATCAGTCATTTTCTTTCACCTATATATTTCACTGCACTTCATCTGACTTCATTCCTTACATCATCTCATTTAAATATACCGTGTCCCATGGAAAGTTAGACAATGATCCTTGACCTGTGGAGTTCGACCTGGTTGGAATATTTTTATGCAGTCTTCGGTGCAGGGTAGATGGTAATCATACCAACCAGTTTTTGTCGCGGAGGACTGGTCACTGCCCCTTCTAGCCCTCCAATTCGAATTTCCGTAACAACCCTCGAATTTGCGATTTTCACTCGCTTTCCAAATGGTCTTGTTGATTTTTTGCCGTTAGCATTTGAATACTTCAAGCTTTTCCCCATTGAGATTTAGGTTAGAGTATATAGTTTTGCAAAAGGCTTAAAACTTCTCGATTGGTCGCAATTGAGAGGCATTTGAGGGGTTGTCTTTTTAAAGGACAAAATCGATTCCTTCAGCCCGTAAGTGCGCAATACAAACTTTATCGTAATGGGAGGTTGCGAGGTCCGACCAAAATAAAATTTCATTCAGATTATGCAGTTTACTTGTCTAAAGCTGTGACCGCTTCAAAAATTCGTTTTTGTTAACTTTTGTATTTATGGTACCTTTTCAAATATAAGGTGGCGAAATGTCGCCAAAACTGTCCGGCCCCAGCCAAACTCGTAATTTCACAAGGAATTTGGTTTTCACTTCATATTCACGTTGATATTCACGTTGATATTCCACATCCGAGGGGTTGGCGGAGTGAAAAAAATTCAATCCCGGTGTCTCTGAGAGATCAACTTTGCCGTAATTCTCTTCATAAATATCGATAATTTTTAATGTCATTTATCGACAATCTTTTTTATAATATTTTTGCACTCTGCTTTTTTGGTTGTTAATGCGCTTTGGGAGACTTTGTTTAATTTTTTTCGTAATGCTCAGTTTATGAACTTTAATGTTGCAGAACAAACATTTTGAAATTAGCAGTACCCGAACAGCGCCACGAATTTACGTGGAACAGTTAGTGCTTAAAATTGTTTCTATGTTATTCGAGTTTTGATGGGTGGCTATAAACAGAGGTGGCCTGGAAATTTTTAAAAATTGAACTTTTTGGCATCCTCATACTTCGAAATATAAAGCTAGGTTTCCGTTTTGTGACAGCTTTCCGCGTTGAAGTACTGTCACGTCATGTTCGAGTGACGTCAAGTGTCAATTTTGTAGTTGTGAAAAACTCGATTTGCGAATTTCTCACTTTGACCCCGATTTCTATTGAATTTCGTCGTTTTAATAAAAAATGCTTTACCCCTGCTGAAAGCCCTTAAAATTGCGTTTCAAAAAACTAAGATAGCTAAGCAACAATCTCCACTAATTGCGCAGTACACTATATGAACCAACTGTCTAACGTAACCTGGGACATGCCTTATTTTTATAAGCGTAGCGTGGAAAATGAAAGGAGTAAGAAACTCTTTTCATCTGAAATAGCGAAATCTTTCGTCATTATTCAAATGACAGAAAATTTATTTTCATTCAGTATCTTAATCAATCAAATGAATACAGGTACATATGTTTGTAACAATGTACAAGCTTTTACCATTGCAAAATAGCCATGGTCGCGTGATATTTCAGCCATCCTGAACATACATAATACTTCATTCACTGATGTTTGATCCACAGCTAAATCTAACCACAGAAGAAAATTCCGTTTTTACCATTTCTCCTAAATTAAGCCATATGTCAAACTCAAAGGATGCAGAGTACACTCTAAATAAATTTGACTAAAATTTACTCAATTTTGAGTAAAATTGCCACCAAAGCAACTATTGAGTAAAATTTACCCTGACAAAGGTAAAATTTACTTAAGGTTGAAAGATTTTTGCTCAAACTTGAGTAAATTTTACCTTTGTCAGGGTAAATTTTGCTCAACAGTTGTTTTGGTGGCAATTTTACTCAACTTTATTTACAGTGTATGTATGCAGAGTGTGTACACTATTTAAAATCTGGTAGAGTCACATAGATACTCCGTGTTTACGTGGTAATAATTTCCAGCCGGATTGTTAGTAAATTGTTCTTTAGTGGTAAATTTTTCATCACCACAACATTACTGAACTGTTACGTATTCCCGTTAATACCAGAGCCGGTGGAGTCACATAAATATGTACTCCGGTCGGTAATGATTTAATACCAGTTTTCTAAGAGTGTAGTAAAAATCTGATCAAAATGTTAACGTTTATCTCATGTACTCCAGTTCCCGAACCAAACCATGCAAATCACTTGGGACATCCAAAATTTCCAAACCTTGCAAGAATTTCCAGAGGAGTTGCTCCGGCTCCGATTTCCCTTCGAATTTGGGGCCGAACTTGGAATGAAGCCCAAGTGGGAATTTTCCTTTCGCAAAGGCACCAATGACAAGATAGGATTTTGGCTGGAACTGTTGACGTTTGAGGGCAAGGATCCAAACGTAGAAATTGTGGGGCGCCTGGAAACCAATTTTACGCAACAAATTAAGGCTACAAGCGGCTTAGAATGGATCACGGACAAGGGATTTTTGGATATACGGTTTTTGAGAGACATGGGATTCATTAATCATGGTATGTAATTGATAATATCTATGTATGTAAATATGATGGGCATATTCTCTACAGGGGTGGGACAGAAGAAGGAGCCACTTGAATTTTAGGGGTGGCGTGTGATGCACAGTCGCGGCATTTTCAAAATTTGCATATGTCATACCCAGATAGTTAACGAAAATTTAGCACTATTCAGATTTTCCCTACGGTTAAAAATGCCCCTGCAGCACCCCCCAGAGTGCGAGGCATAAAAGTGTTTTCCAAAGACATACTGAGCCAGAGAGCCATTGTTAGAAAATTTGCTGCAAATGGATTTATCGTCGATCGAAAGTATTTTTTCTAATGTACTTAAAAACGTTGGAATCAAGCGGAGGGAAAAAGCGGTTAGAGCTCCACCCCCACGGAAAGGATACCCAAGATCCGCTTGAACCAAAAAGTTTATCCGGAAAATCAATTTTTCGCCAAAACGGTAAATCCACCAACTAAAAGTTGCATGGCGAAAATGTTAAACGTTAGTAGGAGAACATTTCTAGAGTCATTCACAATGACCTACAGCAAGTGACTCGTAGGAAATCCCGAGATCATGCTCTCATCCCAACTTATTTCTCACAAAATATCAGCCTACACGAAGGATTTTAAAAAAAGTTTGGGTATAACAATTATTCCTACTATAGAAACTCTCGTTAGTTCCTCTGATATCAATCCGATGTTTTTTTTTGGATTCGAGTACTTAAAACAGAGCCTTCTTGAAAGGAAAACGCGTGCGTTTTGATGCACTTTGGAAAAGTGTTCAGGACGAGTGGTGCAGAATCACTCTGAAAATTGTGTCAGAGGTCATGACTGGTTGGAAAAAGCGACTGAGGCTCGTTAGATAAACTAAAGGGCTTCACACTGAACCAATTACCAAACTTAATAAGGCCGGAATAATAAGGCCGGAATAAATTTAGGCAAAGTGGCTCCTTCTTCTGTCCCACCCCTCTGTAGTACAGGAGTAATTAATTTGAGCTAATTACGACCTACTTACTTTGCATAAGCGACCTTTCACACTCTGAAAAATAATGTTATCCTTTTGAAAATATAAAGTCCAACTCAATATGTAAAACGTTTCATCCGACAGTTTATGCTGTGGTTGGCATTTCTCAAATTTTTGGGGTCAAAGTTGAGAGAAATCAATCAGTTTTAGCAGCCAGGAGAAGCAATTACCACTACAATTCTCACATTACGTTAAAAATACAACTTAGGTATGTATTGTTAGATCTCAAAAATTTAACAAATTCTAACAATCGCATAAGCTATCTAAAAAAACGTTGGACTTTATATTGAGTAAGAATTAAATGATTCGACAAGCAGATCCGCCGACTATTTCAAAAGTAGAAATACTCTATTGCATTATGTTCCCCACATGAAAAGAATTAAAACTGAACAATTTTTCGCGGGCCAAAATTTTCCCTGGGGGGTTATGAGAATAATGAGAGATTAATATGATGCACATAAGGCACAACATATCTATGGAATGGGTTGATGAAATTTCAAAAACAAAATTTGGTTACACTCTCTGGATCAGTACCCCGATAGGTTTTTCGAACTGGGGTGGAATTCCGATTTTCAGGGGTTTTTCGCAGCGACGCAAAATTGACTCAAAAATTTGTTTTTCGCTATGACGAAAAAGTATGGCGAAATGTTCATACGTTAGCTTTTCACCAATTTTTACTACGTTGCAAATTATTAGTAGTAGAATAAAGGTTAAATTACCCAAAAAGTCGAAATCGACCTGCGTGACCTTTTTCGGGGATCGAAAGGTCACAATGTCAACGGTCATGTTACCCCATAAATGGGGTATCGTTGGAAAGGTGTTGGCGAGAGGATTCAGAATATGTAGACTTTGTGGGGACGGGGACAACCCCCTGCAAGTCTAGAGGCCAAAGAACGAAAATCGGCAGTTGTCCTGAATTTAACACGGCACGAATGGGAAAAACTAAAAAATATTCTTCTGGCCATATGTTCGCAGGGGGTGGTCCCAGACCCCACAAAGTATATATATTCCGAATCCACTCGTCAATACCTTTCCAACGATACCCCATTTATAGGGCAATGTGACCTTTGACATTGTGACCTTTCGATCCTCGAAAAAGGTCACGCAGGTCGACTTCGACTTTTTGGGTAATTTAACCTTTATTCTAGTACTAATAATTTGCAACGTAATACAAATTGGTGAAAAGCTAGTGTATGGACATTTCGTCATAGTTTTTCGTTATAGTTCAATTAATTTCTGAGTCAATTTTGCGTCATTGTGAAAACCCCCGCAAAGCCGGAATTCCACCTCAGTTCGAAAAACCTATCGGGGTACTGATCCACAGAGTGTAACAAAATTTTGTTTTTGAAATTTCATCAACCCGTTCCATAGATATGCTGTGCCCTATGTGCACCACATTAATCTCCCATTATTCTCATAACCCCCCAAGGGAAATTTTGGCGCCCGAAAAAATTGCTAAGTTTTAATTCGTTTCATGTGGGGAACATAATCCAATAGAGTATCCCTACTTTTGAAATAGTCGGCGGATCTGCCTGTCGAATCATTTAATTCTTACTCTATTTCCAAAATTTCGGCAAAATCGGAGTTTCACATTTAACACCATCGTATTGTTGGATATACATATCTATGTATCTGTGTCTAAAACTCTTGAATTTCCAGATATACAACTCCACACTTATTATTCTGGTGGAACCCGGAGAAGTGTCAACGTGACGGATATTGTCTTCCCAAATCCGTACGCCAAGTTTGGGTCGAGCGAAGAGCCGAGCAGCGGGACGATCGTAACGCGGTCACACGAATTGCCGACTTATGCTCACAAGCTCTCTGGCGGAACGTTAAGGTTAAATCTAAATTTTACGGTGCACCTGAAGCAACTCGTAAATACGTTGGATCCCTTAAAGGTTTGTACACATTAAATAATTCAGTCTTTTTAGCAGGGTCATTTTGCATATTTACATAATTTTGCAAGTTCCTCGGATCAAACAGCGTCCTATTATTCATTATATAGAAACATAGAGAGCGTATAATCTTACATTTTAATTAAATTTGTAAACATGTAAAAAAAACTCTGCCAGATTAGCCTCTCTGATTTCTTATATGTTTATTAGATGTGTATGTAAATATGCACAGCGTATGTACATATTTATTTATGGATTTTGTGCAATATGCGCATTCAAATTTCTGCAGACTTTGTATAGATTTAATAACATAAAATTTCGGGCCAACTCGAAATTTACTAATGAATAACTTTGAAATTTTTAAATATGTAGATATATACATCGGGCTGCATTATGTGTTATTGATTTAAATTTCAAACCCAAATTTGGATTCACATCGAATTTTGACTTACTCGAAAAAATAATTGTCATTACAAAAATTATGGTCAATTAAAAAATAAAATCGCCGGATTCGATTAGTTATTACTGATAACTTTAACTGTAAACAGGCCGTAATGAAACTTGATTTTAGGGCTTTGTCCATGGATCCGGGATGCAAACCAATTCTGCGTGTCGCCTTAATCAGCAGAACTCCATGTTGGCCATGTTACGTGACGGGATTGGCTCCGATGTGACCCTCTTATCGAAAGATAACCAACTCGTGAAGGCCCACAAGTGCATCCTGTCGAACAATAGTTCTGTCCTTAAGGCCAAGTTTTCAGCGGTGACCGAGAAAGAGATCGAGCTCGTTGAAATGATGGATATGGGGTCAGACGCGTTGAATATTTTTCTCAGATTTTGCTACACCGGAGAAATTGAGGAAAATTGGGGCGATTTTTATGAGGAAGTTATCTCCGCGGCGGATAAGGTACGTTTAATACCATGGATAAGCGTTGCAGCAAGTTTGCCGAAATATCGCTATTTTTAAATTATGAATGTATTAATCCACTGTAAATTAAGATTTGATAATGTATGTATCATTCTAGATACATGTTCCGACATAACTTTTTGTAACCTCTTTTTATCTAAAGACTGGGCGTGTCCTAATTGCGTCCCCGATTTCATAAGTAAATTGGATACCGTTTTGATGAACAAACAAGATAATTATAAAAAATTAATGCGTAAATTGGTAAAAATGTTAAATCCTTTAAGAAATCAATTTGACGAAATGTATTATACAATCGAGTGTTTTAAACATAAGTATGATTTTTGCATAAATAATTTTGAGCGATATGGTATGGGTTAAGTAAGTCGTCACCTTACCTGGTGACTTAATATTGATAACGTTGACCTCTCACTCGATTTGGTTTCTATTCCTGTTTGTATTCTAATGATCAATTAACCCAAATTAATCCCAAACTGTTTACTTTAGTGTAAATATATTTATTACATGCTTATCCAGAGAATTAGCGTATAGTGTCATGAATTGTAAACCAGTTAATTTAACTGATATTTATTGACACATGAATAAAGGACAACTAAACTAAACTAAACTAAGTAGAAATACTAGTGAAAAAGAGGTCGACGCCGCCGATCGTACGCCGCCGCACCACCGAACGCAGGTAGCATTTTATGCGCTGCCGAAAAATTTGGTTTCCTATTCCTTTAACATTGCGACGCCGAGCCGCGCCGCCGACGCCGCCGAAAAATCACCAAAAACTGGCGCCCCCGCCGCCGAAAATTTGTCGGCGTCGACCTCTGTAGTTAAAGGCTTTTCGAGTCGAGGTTTAATTAATTTCTCAATAAAAAAGTGCATGGTAGAAATATTAAAAGTCGAATAAGGTAAAACCATGCAATTAAATTCAAGAATATGATTAATTTTGTCGCGTAAGACTACTAGCGTTAAATTTTCATTTTTTGAAATTTAATTTTGCCTTTATCACGTAAAATTTGTCGAAATATTGTAAACATTTCTGCAGATAGATACATATTTATATGATAAATTAATGGTAAAAATAATAATTTCGAAATTTAGGAGCTAACGTGAGTTATTACCGATTGAGTCAGACCCATGCTCACCCTATTCTTAAATTGGTTACATACTGAATATGAAAATATATTAATAAAAAACAAGAAAAATAATCCAAAACTGTGTACGTGACCATGAATAATAATCAGTCTGACTTCCTATGATAGTGACGCACGCCCATTTCGAAATTAAGTTTTAATGCCGCTTATCAAATCAAGGATATTAGTAGTGAATGTTATGTACTTATGTAACTTACTAGGTTAGCATGCAAAGTTCTGATCTAATCCAATCATAGTTCTGGAAATCTTGCCATTTCCTACAATAACTTCTTGTTTATAGAATCCTCCCCCCGGGGGTCATATGTATGATGCCGCAAACCTATCTCACTTATCGAAAATCCCTTCTGCTATCCTACTAACAATGAGGAGGTGTGAGGTGGTTATCTCCGATATCCACCAGACTAATTTTACACTGTTCACGCTCAGAAATAAGTGGACCCGTATTTTTTCGTTTTCCTGAATGGGCATGTTTACGCCCTTGGCGGAATTTTCAAAAAAAATTTCAGCCAAAATTCGGATTTTTAAAAACGCTGTAACTTTTCGAATTTTAACCCGATTTCAAAAATTAAACCCAATTTGTGTTCAGAATTACAACCCTGAAAATTCATAAATTCATTCAAAATTCATAATAAAAATTCATTTTTAAAAAACTTTTAATTTTCACAAAATTATCGTTTTTTGGGTTTATAAAAATTCAGAAATATCATGAAAATATCAAATTTTTAAAATTTTTAAAAATGAATTTTTTTATTTTCAGAGATGTAATTCTGAACACAGATTGGGTTTATTTTTTGAAATCGGATTAGAATTCGAAAAGTTACAGCGTTTTTTAAAATCCGAATTTTGGCTGAATTTTTTTTTGAAAATTCCGCCAAGGGCGTAAACATGCCCATTCAGGAAAACGAAAAAATACGGGTCCACTTATTTTTGAACGTGAACAATTTAAAATTAGTCCGGTGGATATCGGCGATAACCACCTCACACCGTCGCATTGTAAGTGCTAACAGTCAGACCGACGAACAGAGCGTTACATAGAGTTGCAATAAATCTATTCATGTATTCATTCGTACTTCATAACTTATTTACACTTCAAATTTTTCTTACACATATTAACCCTTCGTAAGAATAAGATCAATCGCGTAATCGGAAACTCGTTCCGCAAATACAAGCAATGATCCCATCTGCACCCCATTCCTCATAGTATCGACGGAACCCAGGATATCAAAGTTCGTCGTATTTGGTAGCAAAGATTTCAATATCCTCCTTCTCAATTTACCCTTCGTGCCCGTCGAGTTTTTAATTTTCATCAATTGCAGCTATTCTTTAGAGCTTCTCGTTGTTTCGGAGAGATATTCGATTGAAGATTTCATCGATGAGATTATTATCACCAGAGCGGTTATACCCGTTACAAGAATAAGTGGATTAATTTCACCCACGTTCAGTTTATTGGTCATTTGCACAACTAAATAATATAGCGACATTGTTCCCGTGACAACGGAAATCGCGTTAAGCAAACATACCGTAACCAGCTCACGGTACAGGTCATGGTGAATTGTGGACATTACTTTGAGCGAATTATGGATCCCGACAGAATGACGAAACTTTAATTTTTCCAACCTTGACAGTAACCTCGTCGTCCATAAATATTGGATGATAGCCCCGCAAACACCTAAATTTTGTATGAATGCACCCACGCCCAAGAGAACTCGGGACATTAGACATGTTCCCGTGGCAAGGACAAGTTTGACCGTGAGGATGACGGGGAATCCGAATGTTTCAAAGTCGTAGATACCACGAAAAATGGGGTATGCGGGATTATTCCGAGTGAATGCGACGAATGGGACGATAAGGAGGGCAGCATGGTCAAGAAAGACGAATATAATGTGTAGTTTCCGATTTATTGAGGCTATTATGCGGGTACATTTTTGCGGTATGGATTTTCCCATGTTTGGAATTTCTGAAATATAAAATTGTACGTTTAATTTTCCTGACGGTATTGTTTAACATATTCCTTGATGAATACTCATTAATAAAGTCGAAAGTAACAAATTTCTAATTAGAATTAAATCGTCGAGAATTTGTAAATAAATTCCCAACGCCTAAAAATTATTGACGATTTGTTCCTCTATTGGCCATGAGTTATCGAGTCCTAAGATAAAGCTGTAACCATTTTTATGGCTGCTGGGCTATTTTTTAAATGTTCATAAGCTGGCCAAATTATACCTTTGGTGACAAAATCTAGGCACCTGACATTATCAAGCTTGATATTAGAAAAAGTTTCTTGTTGTGACGCCGAGGCAACGAAACTTAATAAAACTCCTGATTCTGGATTATGTACCTTCAAAGCATTCCTCCAGTAGAAATTTGGCTTCAAAAGAAGACACCAATCTTTGTGTTCCATCCTGCCGCGCTAGCACGCAAAAGAACGGTGTCACCAGGACCAATAGCATCGTTCCCAGGAAAGTTACCACGACTAGCCCAGGAATACCATGACTTGGTCGTCACGCTTAATTGCGTCCCCGGACATGAGGTATGCACATCGCAGGAGTAAAACTGGCAAGGAAATTATGCACGTCAAACAGAACGCTTGGAATGCAAGGAATGGCAAATTATTCGGACCAAGAACTTTCGCATGATCACTTTTAGCATCCCATTTTATTGAGTGGATTAAACCAAAGCAGGAATTCTGCATGGAAATAACCCTTTCCTTGAAATACGGTTTCGCGTAGACGTTCCACATGTTTATTTCGGTAAAGAGCAGTCGCCTACAATGATATCCGAAAGGATTGGGTAAGAATACAGGATGCGCTACTAACACGTGAACGCGGTCACTCTTGAATTGCTCCAAAACGGGTTGGAGTTCCGGTTCCAAATTTTGAGCATAGCGACATGTGATTGTTGACAAGGGCTGAGCAAAAAATTAGCTCTCTAGATTCAAAAATGACCCTACCATTGCCCTTAGAGTAAGAGGGTACCATAAAAACACTTTCCAAACTTAATATTTCGTACACAGACATAATTAACCACTTTAAAACTCAAGGACAACAAGTTTAGAAAGGAAGGATACATAAGGTACTTAAAAAAGAAGGTCAATAACGACAAGCTCGTACCACAGGACAACCATCATGCCTCAAACATGAGTCCGAAAAGTGCTAATTCGGCCCGTGCTTAAGAAAATTGACCTATTGACCTCTGAGGACAACCCACCACCCCACAGAGCAGTGGCACGTCTAACCAAAGTGTCAGAGACTAGTGTGCGACGAGCAATTAAAATTTTGGGGAAGCAAAAAAGAAGAAAAATGCAAGTCAATCAGCTGACTGAGAAGCATAAAAAAAATCGTCGTCTGCCCTGCAAAATAATTTAATGTGAATTACCTGACAAAAGATAAAAGTGACTGTTTAGTGTCGTTGGATGAAGAATTATTTTCTTTACAAGATACCAACGGTCAGAGACAAATTTACTATACAACCAAAGGAAAAATTAATTCCAGAAGATTGGCCATCCCGCACACGGAAAAGTTTTGCAACAAGTTCATGGTGGTTGGTGCATTATCTGGTCGTGGTCTCCTCCCACTTATCAAAGTTCCACAAAAAGTGAAGGTAACTGCGAAGTACTTCATTGACTTTGTTTTAAAACCGCTTTTGGAGATTCATCTTCCAAAACTATATGGCTAGGACACAAATAAAGTGATAGTTCATCACGAAGAAGCGTCATCGCACACCGCCCTTTTGACCCAGGATTACGCCAAGGACTTAAAAGCTAGACTCGGGATAACAATCATCCAAAATAGTGAAATACCTGTTAATTCACCCTATGTAAGTCCCATGGATTTTTTCGGCTTTGGATATCTGAAATAAAATCTTTTCTTCGCCACCCGAAATCTTTTGACGGAGTTTGGAAAGTTTTGAGAGACTAGTAGTCTAAAGTTGACCTCACCATGGTCAAATCAGTGTACAAAGGTTGGAATCGCCGATGTCGACTTGTAGTTCGAGAAAAGGGCTCTCACATAGAACATGTTCGGGACCTCCACTCCAAGCCGTTCAAGCAGTAATTTAAGGTCATAAACGTTCACGTGTTAGTGGCGGAGCCTCCGTATACTACGAAATTAAAATCTGGATTGGTAAGCCTAATTTAATTTCCGTTTTGGTTTAGGTGATTTACTGTACATAATAAATATAGTTATCTACATTGATAAGGTCTCAATTCGAGTTTATCAATAAATTGTGTTTTTCAAGGGTATTTTGTAAATGTTCGGCGGAATGTTGTTGAATAAATAAAGTTTGAAATTGCTGGCAAAATTCTAATCTGCGCAATTGTACCTTCACTTCCACAGATGGTCGAGGAAATTAAAAAATCAAACGATAAAATAAATCCTTTCCAAAATTGTATAACAAAGTAGAGTACGAGAGATTATAAATAAGGTGTGTCCAGGAATAAATGGTTCCGCGCATAATGACCTGTGTATTTCGACCTGGTTAGAAGAGTTTTATAAAGCCTTCTATAAATTGTAGGCAGGAACCAGACATGTCAGTTTTTGCTTCGATGGATTTTTCTTATTTCATTGTTGGCCATCAATCCGACTTCCCGCACCAACCCTCAAATTACCAATTTTCAACCGAATTTCGAAATGAACCGGTTGATTTTTTGGCATTAACGTTCGAATTCTTGTAGCTTTTTCTCCTTGGAGCGAAGGTTAGAGTACCTTCTTTTACATAAGCCTCAAATCTTACCGATTTTTCGCGAATGGGGACATTTGGAGGGTTTTTGTTTTTAGGCCCATTAGTCTCAATGTAATCCTATCTTGGAATTTTGCTGGGAATGTAGATTTCATGTACAACTTCTGTCGATAATCTACACTCACAAGGTGTCCTAAGTTAAAAAATGTGCTTTTCGAAGTTTTCGAAGGATCCAGTTCGACGTTGGCCTCGTCATTATTGATGAAATATTTTCACGACATTTATCGACACGTTTTTTTGCAACTTTTTTGCAATCTGCTGTTTTGGTCCTGAATGTTTTTTGTGAGACTTCGGTTGTTTTTTTTGTAATCCCCAGTTTATATACTTTAATGTTGCGGAACAAGCGTTTCGAAATTTGCAGTAGCCGAGCAGCGCCACCATTTGACGTGGAAGAGTTATTACCGATGAGTGTTTTAATGTATTTCAAGATTTTCTTGGTGGCTATGATGAGAGTTGATCTGAAATGTTTTTTGAATTTCACTTCCCGGGTGAAAAATTTAAGGGATTTTATGCATAAATTTGGCTGGTTTTTATGCAGAGAATTGGCTGGATTTTATGCGGAAATAATTTGTGCACAAAATGTACAGAATTATGCATAATTATGCAAAATCTTTCTGTAGAATATACCTGTCAGATGTTTTATGCAGAATCGTTCATACTTTTTCTGTACAAACCATTGGTCCGAGCAGTTGTGTCGAATTATGTCAAATTCGACATACGATTTTCACATGGGTTTTTGTCATCCTCATACATCGAAATATAAAGACAATTTGTCGTTTTGTGACAGGTTTCCGTTTTGAAGTACTGCCACGATATTTTCGAATAACGAGAAGCGACGATTTTGCGGTTGTGAAAATCTTGATTCGCGAGGTTTTCATTTTTACCGCGATTGCTAGTAAATTTCACTAGTTTAACCAAAAATGCATTATATCCCCAGGAGGCGCATGTAATTAAGTTTCTAAAAATCAAAATCAAAAATACCAAAATACACAGATTGGGTTGTGTGCATACACAGTACCCGGAACCATTTATTCCTGGACAAGCTATATGTAACTTGGAAATTACATACAATCTCTCGTACGCTACTTTTACAATTTATTAATTATTTTATATACTCAAATAATTGCTTCTTTAAAGGAATCTTTAAAATAGCTAATAATTCTACGCAGTGAATAACACAATTTTTAATTTGGAGACCCTGCCTTTGTCTCTTTGGGATAATGATCCATCACCAACAGCCCGAGTTATTAAGACAAAAATTCCATCCAGTCAAAGCTCAAGTACATGTTTTTCTGGCTGTCCGAAACCGGGTACAATTATTGCAGACTGTAGATTCTATATAATATGCATATAATAAAATTTTAAAATGATTTGATATTATCAAATCATTTTAAATTTTATGAAATGTAAAATGCATATATTAATGAACGTATGCAAATCAAATTCACATCTTCATGCAAAAACAATTGACATGTGTACATACAAACGTATTTATGTACGAATGTGCATTGTTGTACTTAAGTGGGATACAATGATTAGAGACTCTCACCAATTATGTATGTAGGTGTGCAAATATTTGCATTAAGTGGTTACCTACATATGTACAATGTGCATAAATATGTGTGTAACACTATGTATGGTAGAGTATTGGCACGTGCAAACAAATTAGTAAAGAATACCCGGAAATTAAAACAAACCTCAATTTCTTATGAATGAAGCGATACAGTTTGTTCTTCCACCTACATAGTTACCACAGTCTCGAGGTGTACACCTCTTTTTTACCCCATCTTTGCCATGAATCAATTACTTCTCGTACTACTCGTTTTTTTTCACGGTCAGCTGATGATACATACTTTACATAAGTTATCGAATAAATCTTGATAAACAACTTGTCCATAAATATTTATGTAGGTGTGATTTTTTCTAATGCGTTTTCCGAGTTCCAAACCACTATTTTGAATGAGGTCAACCGACTTAGAGCTTTTCACGGCAGCCCGCCAATGGTTCTGGATGAAAAGGTGATCTGTTTCCCAAAGATTTAAATTTTGAGAATCGATTGTTATTTTACATTGAAATGGTAATTCGGACGGCTTTCGTACATAGCTGGGTAAAATGAGACGTTTTCTGACCCTAGCTATATTTACATTCATTAATTCAATACAAAATCAACAAATTATTCTATAAATGAATGCATAGTGATTGACCAAGTTTTTAATATTTTTGAATTAATGAAGACCTACAAATCATTCTATAATCATGCATGAAAAATGAATGACTGATTTTATGCATTATTCATTTTTCATCACTGCTTAATACCTAGGTATATACATACGTTGGGTAACCGTATTGTATAATCAATAGAATGAAGTCAATTTTTGTTCAATTTTCAAATTAAATGCATTTTGAACGAAGAAATATGTATACATATTTAGAGCAGGTATGCTTCTGACAATATTCTTCACTTTAAATTGAAGTCCTAATTCAGTACTAACTTTTTTAACAAACGGGTTCCCTATTCTTGCACTTCTTGCACAAACTTCGAACCTTTGTCATTTTCTAACTTATTTTTTTAATCCCTTCTCATTTAAGCTGTCACAAGGTTGTCAAGAATATGCTGAAAGTCTACGGGCATCCGTCAAGCCAGGTGAATGGTTTAGTCACAGCGCAGGAGCCGGGGCGGACTACGGCGAGACAATGACGGGTCCCAACAACTGGGCGTGGATTAGATCTGTCAACTTCGGGCAGTGGTTGGTTGACGAGATGTACGGCGAAATTAAAAACTATGACTGGGCCAAGCCTGACTTCCAGGTGGGCCCGAATGGCCAGGTTGTCGGCCACTTTGCCACGCTTGTTTGGAAGAGCTCGACGAATTTGGGGGTTGGCGTGGCTGACCCGACAGGGCACGAGACCAATGGGGCCGTCGTGATTAGAACGACACCTGCTGGCTTTTATGATCACTTAGTGGCGGAAAATGTGCCCCAATTGGTAAGTTATGTAAAAATAAATTGTTGAAGTAATATAGGAATTCGTATATGGGGTATTAATTACTAGTTCGTGTAGGTGGCAACGTTTGACAAAAAACAGGGTTCCCAAATTTGAAAAAAAATTCGCAACTCATTTGTGATGTGGCACATTGCTACATAAAGCTACTATTAGAATTTATGTTGGGATGCGAAAGTGTTACATACATGGCTCATAATGAATACCCCCATTAACTTACAATGGAGGCGCAAACCATGTTCATCCCAGATTATTTCTTAACCATGTTAGTTTGAAAGAGCAAGTCTCTAGAAACAACATTTGGTGTGGCACGTGAGCAGCTGCGCAAAATTCAGCACCTTATTGGCGCCGCAAGCTCGCAAAAACGCCTGATTTTTCATGCACGGTCGAGCTCAGCATTTTCCGTCTCTCTCGCTAATCCACTCCGACGCGAGGCCATTGACCCTGCAACACTGCATCGTTCGCATTTTTCATCCAAAATACGAATCCGAATTATTATATTTTTAGCTAAGAATTTTGAAATTATTTCGCCCAATTTTTTACACATTTTTATATATAAAAAAATTTGCATTAAAAGCATAATCACGCTTTCTGTTGAGAAATAACTTTTATTCCATATTATATTTTTGTTCAGAATACTGTTGGGTGTCAAACAGACCCGATGGAAAAGGGGAAGAAATTGCTGCAATTATTTTCCCAAAATCTTTTAAAATTACAAAATTGGTTGAGATATGTACATAATCCCGAATTTACAATTGATAAAAATATAATAATTCGGCAATGTGGATGAAAAATGCGAATGATGCAGGGTCATAGTCCTCGCGTCTGAGTGAGAGAGCGAGCGAGAGAGACGAAAAAAACTGAGCACGCGCTCGACCGTGCATGAAAAATCATGCGTTTTTGCGAACTTGCGGCGCCCACAACGTGCTGAATTTTGCGCATCTGCGCAAGTGCCGAACCAGAGTTCCTCTTTGGCTTCCTCTTGGGCACCACGTAACTCTCTCTCGCTCTGCATCTGGATCCTCTTCCATCTGGGTCGCGGGTGTGCCAGGGCAAGTAAAGTGTGTCCAAGGCTATTCGCCAAGTGAGCCTCGTCCACTCACACTCCCACCTGCGTGCCAAGTGACACCCCCTGCCACACCCGTCCCAGCAACGACAAGCTGAGCCACCAGGCGAAGATGGATTTCGATGGACCCAGTGCTCAGGAGGATCTACGCCTTGGAGGGACTCCCCCAGGTGGGTTTTTTGTTTGGTAACTCGGGGTGGTGACCGTGGGGAGTGGTTGGTGGAAGAGTGACGGGGGGGGTCGTGCATGGCGGAGGGCAGCATAGTTGGGTCTACGGGGTCCCATGACCTGGTTATGTTGAGATGGGGGAAGGGGCAAGTGGGGGTGTCGTCGGCCCCGGCTACGGCTTCCATGGGGGACGTGGGCAAGATCCCGCGGTCCGTGGACAGCCCCCGCCCAACAACCTTCAACTATCTGCTTCGCCATGCCGTCTCCGTCCTCATTTGGATATCTCCAACCCCACGGAATCCGCCTATGATCTCTGCCATACATTCTCCTACCTGGGTGAATATGTAGCAGGGACCAAATGGTGTTCTGGGCAACCTTCCCAGGACATGTAGGGGTTTTCCGAACCCACAATGTTCGGTTTTCCCTCTGCATCCCTACTACTTATACATATATATTATCATTAATTATATACTTATCATTAATTATATACTTATCATGTTATTTGTTACTGTATGCAACTAGCCTATATTGGGATGCCGGGTGCTACTTGTGGATCACGACCTCAACTAGAGACATACTCTATTGAATTGATTGATTTGTGTAGTATAAAATGAAACTATGTATGTACATGAAGGCATTTTTGTATGAAACGAATGAACGAGTATGATTGTAAAGGCTTACGCTACATCAATCTTTGAATAAAAACCCTATCTATCTATCTAGTTAGTACAAGTGCCGAACCAAACGTTGTTTCTAAAGACTTGGTCTTTCAAACTAACATTGTCAAAAAATAATCTGGGCTGAACATGGTTTGCGCCTCCATTGTTAGTATAAATTAATTTTTTAATTGTTTAAATTTATTCACAGTTACCACCATATACTAAGGATTCTTACAAGAATACCGTTATAAGGAAATTTAAAAAGTTCTAACTTAAGAATTTGTATGACGCCTATTATACATTATATTATTTATTATGATCGCTACGTAAGCGTGATAAATACAAATACTTGTGTTTACTGGACTCTGATTATGAATCTAAGATAATAAAAATTTTAGTGATTACTGTTACTATGTATAGGTAGTCGATAGCATTCCTAAAACCGTGCTTTATTGATGAGTAAAAATAATGCGAACAATAATAATACGCAATTATTTTTAATTAATAAACAATTTAACCATCGACAGTACATTTTTTAAAAGTTGCATAGTTTGTCTCACCTCGTTGTAACAAATAGACAATCAAATCTAAACCACCAAAATTATGAGTAAGGCTTTCTTGTATAAAAATCGAATTGATGGCAAAAAGTTGAATTGATGGCGAAGAATGGGGAAAGATAACTCCTCCGCAGCAAAAACGGGTAGGTAAGGCTCCCACCGACACTGCCCAAAAGGTTTTATAAATAACTTCCTACCAGGTAGAATTCCACAGCTCATGAATCACAGTCCAACTTAAGAGTATGTAAATGTGTTATACTTACAGCGGAGTTTCAAAGCACTAAAAATCGTATTACATGTCGAAAAAATACATCACCCTCGTGGACACCCTAACGCATGTTGGGGTGGTCACATGCCCCATCCACAGTGGGTGTGGCTCTCGAAATTTTTCGAATTTTCCTCGAAAGTATGGGTTGTGACATCATTTTTCTCAGCTCGATGAGGAAATTCCGGTTGAATATTTAAAATTTTGAAACCACACCCCCAGTGGGTGTGGTCCTTAGAGAATTTATTTTTCAACGAAACTATGTCATGTAACATGTTTTTTTCCTCAGCTCGAGAAGGGGAATACGGGTATCTAGCTAAAATTGCAAACCCACCCGTCCAGTGGGTGTGGTTCCAGTTGCTTTTTTATTTGAACAACACCATGTCATGTGAGGTGGTGAAGGAGGATGTCTATTGGTCCCCAACCAAATTTCTTCTCCTCGGTGGGAGGTCAATTGACCTCGTAAAAATTTTCTTAGCTCTGCATGACCCGGCTTAATGTTGGAAATATGTACAATAAATTCTAATTAATTGATTCAGTTTGACATAAAAACACACTTGGATTACAAAGTTGTGAACGTGTTGAATTTTTTACAATCATATTGCCAAAAACTGTTGTCGTTATATGCAGGGTAAGAAAAACCGGGGTTTTGCAATCGAAAACCCATACCCAGGGGGTTTACCTAGGTTTTGTGGGTAGTAAGGGTGGTCGAGGTTTTGGGGAGTAAACGAAATCAGTATCTATCATGTACATATTACGTTGTGAGAACCATAGGTTTTTTAGTACATAATTTCTCAACAAAGCTACTTATTAACTCAATTTTAGTAATCAATTAATCTGTGGAACTGTTTGTAAAGCCCTGTTATCATGCTTTATTAAATTTGATAATCCCGACAACTTTTTCAGTTCAAAATTATGGTAAGCAATACGTTGAAAATAATGAAATCTCGACGAGGGCTTAGATAATCTGTTTTAAGGTTTTACTTGTAGGTGGAGGATCTCGAACTTGAGTTTAAAAAAAATCACATTATCGTGCCTGGCTTGTATGAACTTGACCTTGGCTTGAAATGCTACGGTAGCAGGGGGTGGAGGACTGGTTTTCAATATTTAAACTTGGCAAACTGGGTAGTAACCCAATCATTAAGCGAGAAAAGTTCATCACATAACATGGTTTTGTTCAAATAAAAAAGTAACTGGAACCACACCCACTGGACGGGTGGTTTTGAAATTTTAGCTAGATACCCGTATTCCCATTCTCGAGCTGAGGAGAAAAACACGTCGCATGACATAGTTTCGTTGAAAAATAAAGTTCGCTAAGGACCACACCCACTGGGGGTGTGGTTTCAAAATTTTAAATATTCAACCGGAATTTCCTCATCGAGCTGAGAAAAATGATTCATAAAGTTAAATGAATAGTTAAGTTAAGTTGAATAGTTAAGTTGAATTAAATTAAGCGAGTATAAGGCGTGTTAATTCTTATTTAAGCCGGAATTAAGAATGTTTTATTTTGGTTATTTTGCATCACTGCTTATGCTTGTTTATGAAGGCGTATGTGTGAGAAACTGAATAAAATCAATGCGAGGGGAAGAGAATGGAAGTGGAGTTTTCTCCCTGAGCCTGAAAAAAGTCGGCCGTTTTTTCAACTTCGACCTCAAATATTTTGAGTAACTCCAACCATCGCACAAAGTGGCTGAAGAAACGTTAGTTGTATTGACTTGGACCACCTAATTTTAAAATTTTAGGCAAATCGGAGGGTTACACTTCACACCATCGCATTGTAAGTAAATAAAAAAGGAGTGTTAAAATAGATGCGAATGATTTGTCATTTACAACGACATCAAGAGGAAGCAGAACAATGACAGTTAATAACATGTAATCATTCATCGATAGTCATTTATTCATTTTTCCGTATGTCAAGTGAGAAACGGCGAACGAGGATGAGCCATTTATTTTTTATTCTGCCTGTCACAAGACAATTACACCAATCAATGAATGTCATTTTTTCTCGGGGTTGGACAGGTACTCACACAACGACGGGAATCCGGGTAGTGAATGGAACTGGGGTGAGAGGCACCCCTTTTGGAGGCTTAATGATCAATGCAGGCTGGTTTACGTCAAGCATTCTGGGATCAAGTGGATAAAAACATGGTTAAATAAATATTTTTCATTAGAACGCTTTGGTCACTCATCCCAGCCTAGCTAAACTGTCCGTATAAAGTCTCAAATGAAAACTCGAGCCAAATTAGATTTTGCGACAAGTTAACATAAGTTCACTTATTGTATATAAAGAGAACATTAACACAGCATTGGAAAAAACTAGAAAAATTCAAGTTAAAGTGTAGTGGAATTCCTGCAGAGGACACCAGCCTTCCTGTGTTTGTGGAAGGAAAGAAGCCTAAAAATATTCAAAAGAGGCTAATGCCAACATTCTGTACTGAAGGAGAGACGGAAGTAGTTTACATAAACTACTGTGATCCTATTTCCAAGGACCCCAAGGGCATTCACTGGAAATTTATTTGCCCTTGAAATGTTTGTTTGTGCGGTGTATATCCCGAACACTGCTTATTTAAAGCTGTAAGTGTTAAACATGTATTCAGCTATAAGTGCCAGTAGGCTGCGGAATGAGCCAGAAGACCATATTGAATTTGATACTACACCACTTATTTATCCGGACCTGGATCCGAACCTGACAACAAGCATCTCCTGGACCACACGTTTACCCTAGAAAGTCGCATCAATGAATTGGAGAACGCCATGGAGAACCTCAAAATCCAAAATATGAGGATTCAAGAAAGCCTTGGATTTCGCCGCGCGTCTAATAATGCCCGGTTCCATCCATACCGTCGTGAACAATGACTTCTAAAATTCGGCAGCAGTGACTTAAAATTTTTACTACAATAATTAGTTTAGAATTATGCTTGGCCAAGCATAATTTAAGAAAATTATATCTTAGAATGCATGAGTTATCCGTGTATTTGTCTTAGTAAGTGTTCATTGAGTGAATGTCCTTGTATTCGTCTCAAGAAGTGTTCATTATATATTAGTATACATGTGCATACGCACACTATGAATAAGTCTTCAGAGTTTTGTCTCATATTTAACGAGAATGCGACATGTATTGTGTGGTAGTATTTGTATGTGTACCTCTAAAAAGTATCAAATTTCGGAGCAAGCAAGTTGCCGACTTGTTTACAATTAAATTCCTCCGTCTTGCGAGCTCGACTCACGCTTGAATCATCAAAGCCCATCCCTTCTATTACACATACTTTTTACAGTTGTACAAATGAAATCATAATTTTCGTTTTGCAAAAATTCATACATTTCTATATTTTAACTCCTGCAAATCGTCGCCCAAAGTTGTGAGAAGGAATGGACATGTCTGCTCTGTGTGGGCTAAAGAGGATGCATTTTTAGACAACTTGGAATTTGCGTAAAGGAAAACAACCTTCTGCAGTATGTTATTAAGAAGACGGCCCGTACTCCATCACGACGTAGCAAATTAGCAGGTATTTGTATTTACCAATAGTTATAGTTATATATTTATTATATCACATTCATTCACAAGACAAGACATCGACACATATATTCATGCATTTATAAATTCATTTATTTCACAATATTTTTCTCTTTTACTGTTCAAACCATAATGGCTCCTTAAGGAATTGAAATTGGCAAAATTGGATTAAGGATTGTGCAACCCTCTAGAAATAACCTTGACTTCTTCCACCCTGGTTGTGCACCTATAAAAATTTAAAATTTCTCGCAAAAATATTAACGTTGCCACTACACAAAGCAGCACTCCCAAGGTGAAAACAATTCTTAGATTGTTCAACCCCAGGGGAAAAAATTGATTCTCTGACATTTCCCTTCTATCAAATTGTCCCGAAACAATCATACCATAAAGGCGACCAACCGTTTCGTTCCGCCTCCCTCTTCTTGTGCCCAGTAACCCGTTAAGGACGATGTGCTTGATACTATTTGAAACCCATTTCTCTTGAATTCCGGACTCCCACAGGGCCGCCACACCTCTAGAGAATATCTCAGCCGTGAAATAGTTCCTGGTGGCGAACCACGGGACAAATAAGGTGAAAGGGTTGTCCCGCACATTTTTATTTTCGATGTAGTACTTTGTCCAATTTCGCATCAAGATGCGAAACGACATAGAATCAGAGAGTGCGTCCAATGAAGCAAAACTAGTTGGTAGTTTTACCATCCCATGCTCCCCCGTTCTCACAGTATTTTCTTGACTGATATTTTTAACAGAGAGATGAATCTCTTCTGGCAGAAATAGGACCTTGTTTCTGTATGTCTCATGATAATTTCCAGACCCAGATACGTTCGAAAGGACTAGGTCCGTTAAAATTACGTCTTTAAGGGTAGAAAAGCGTTCCCGATTGAACAAGTGGTAAGTCGTTGTAATCAGGGTCATGTTGCTTTTGAAGAGTCCGGCCACCGTGGTAGGGGTGGATGGCGTATCTGGCATTGTAATGCAGGATACAAGATCGTCTTTAAACCAATTGGAAAGGAATAACGTACATACGGTCCAAACGATCAGGAGAAACATTGCTGATATGTTGTGGCGTAGTTTGATGAAAGCTTTTGTAACGTCAAGTGCTGGTTGTTCGAG